AATTGTTTGCTTTACTTCTTTATTTACTGTTCTACGTTTTACGAAAAATAACTAAGAAGTTATTTCAAAATAGCAATAACTATATACATACATACATAATGTATAATAATTGAAATGTTACTGTATTTTACAAAATACTAGTCTACGAAAACATAGCCAAGACAAGTTACTTTGTACAGACCAAAGGTCAGTTTTATGTTATTTGATATGGTAAGAAGAGTGCACGGGAGCTGCGTCATTGTAACTTCTGTATTTGTAGCCAGGCACGGCAGAAAGAATAAAATAATAAATATATATAAATGTATAATGTTATGAGATTTAAACTATTTAGTCTAAACATTTATGTTTTCATGTTATAATCTGTGTTCATTCTAGAATGAAACAGGCATAACTTATATTTATTTCCTAATTTGTTATGGTGGTTGCGAGCTCAGTCAAATCTACCGAACCTGTACATAGATTAATTACTGAAAATAACAAATAAAAATATAAAGTTTTTTTTAAGAAACGTTTGGTAACTATCTGGACATTATAAAGATTTTGCATATGAAATTTGAAAATTTTCTGATGCATAAAAGTATTTTTAATCTTAAAATGAAAATTACTTAACATGATAAATAGGCAACATGTGAAAAGAAAAAAAGGTATGAAAAAACAGTGCTTTACAAACCTTAAGACTTAATAAAAAATTTATGTTTTGCATATGAAAGCATTGTAATGTTTATTGATAATCTGCCAAATTTCGCTAACATTCACTTACTAATTTAAAAGTTCTAGCATGAAAACTAAAACAAACACAAAATGGTTATGAGGTCGGTCCCAGGGATCGTGCTGAAAGAGTTAACATAATAAATATAAAATAATATCAGGTGAAAAAAAAAATGAAGGACGAAATATAAAATTTAAAAAAAATCTTGGTATGACCCAATTTAAACCAGAAAAAAAAAGCATTCAAAAATTATGTTACATCAATTTTAAACTGCACTTATTAACATAAATATGAGTGTTCATCATATACATACGCTCATTAAAAGAGTATCCAAACATTTCAATTGTGGAAGGATGTTCTTCAGTTTCTTCGTAACTTACTTGCCTCTCAGAATGGGAGTTTGAGACTGCAATGACAAAGTATAAAAATAAAATGTTCTGAAATTGAAAAGTTTTTTTTTATTATGATCAAAACATCATAGCTGTGCTCTTCAATCACTGAAACTTAGTGAGGTCATCAAATGAAATATGTTTGAGCATACATGTTATATACACACACCATAAACTGCTGAAGGCTTTCCTGCCAGAACCTGAACCTCTCCTTTTGTCTGTTTAAGTTATATTTCCTGCCAGAACCTGAACCTCTCCTTTTGTCTGTTTTCATAACTTTTAAACAGACAATAAAACTTCAAGAAGGTAAAACAGTGAAAGAGGGAAACTCTGAAAGACTTTATGGAAAGAATATGTCCTTAAATAAATACAAAACCTAACAACAATAAAATTCTGAACAAAATGGAGACCAGCATGATGACTAAGATTACATAATTCAAATAGATATAAATGTAGAGGTTTTATATAAAGGGTTTCTTTTCCAACCAACCTCTTACTTCAATATGTTTTTTTTTCTGTATGATGACTAAACTATTGATTATCTTCAATAAGTTGTGAACTAAAAGGATGATTATTTATTTAGAATCTTTAAGCAAATGTAAAAAATTACTAATTTTCTTTGATTAATGACCAACAATATCATTGTTTTTCAGTAGTTTGTTTTTGGGGCCAAATTTAGGGTTATATATGTCATAAAATATTTGAATTTGCTCATCACGAAAAGCTCTAAAACAAGTTAGTTGTAAATATTGTTGTTTTGAGTAATATGGATATCTTGTCAATCTTAGTGAGTGGCCTAGAACTTCAAAACTGTTTAAATGTTGAGAAAGGTAAAGCCACACATTTCTCATATTGAGAATCATAAAGAATTTTACCTGTTCTATAAGAAGAATATTAGTGTTGTGGAAAAGGAGAAACGTACAAGAGTAATTGTTTCAAAAGGGATAATGTATTCAATGGAGTGTTTGAACAGACTGATTAGAATGCTAACCAGAGGAAGTGATATAACACTGTTTTCTACCTGCTTTAGTGATACAGGATTTTTTTAAATTCTTTGTTTGTTTGGTGTGTATTCAGTTTTAGCACAAAAACATGGTCCAGAAAGTCACTGACTGCCTTGTTCTAGTTGCTTTGTTTGCTATAGAAGGTAATGTCTATTCTGCCTGTGAGGTTTATTCAGTTTGAAAAGATGTGCACTGTAATATCCATTACCGGCCAAGTTGATGTAGACTAAATGTAACAGCTAACCAATGTTGTGAGAGAACAGAGGTCACAAGGTGATACTATTGACTGGACAATGAAAGTAAGTTTACCTGTTGAATCCAAGCACAATTTTTTGAGCCCGTCCTACTTGAAGATAACTGAATGAAAACTTACTTCAAGATCATCTTGTTTAATTCTACAGAAGTCAATTTTGATAAAAAGAAAGCTGTAGAGTTAAATACACTCCATTAGAATCGACTGCTAGTCTGTGTATACAAGCATTGACACTGCACTTTCTGTTTGTTTGTTATAATAATGAGTTTTTTCATTTATTTACATTTTACCCATTACGCCATGTCACAGACTATCTTGTCAATTCATATATGGTACGCCCTGGGGTATGCTATAATGGGGGAGTGATGATAATTGCCCAATCTGGGGCACCCAGACGAAAATCAATGGTAATCAGAAATCAAATAACTAATAAAGATAAACAGAAAACTTCCCGATGCCCCAAGGTATAGTGTTACAGGTCATTTGTCCAGCCTCATTACTTCATATCTAAAGAAACACAGTCAAGTTATCAAAGATAAAATACTTCCCTTATTTCTTGATCAAATCTGCTGTCATTTGTGTATTTGCCCATCTGATACTCAGCAGGAAATCTCTTTTATCTGAAATTACCTCAACAAAAGGATTTGGAGTTTTAATTAGTTATTGGTTAGAGCTTAATTGGAGTACCATTTTCAGTTTTGGTCTTCTTATAGAACACACACTGATCTTGTATAAGAAGATGCACAAATACCTATAGGTTATCAATACCAAAACTAGCATAAAAAATGTGAGAATTGAAAAATTTTAATTAATTGCAGTGATGTTTTGCTAAAGCTAAAAAATTGGTTATAATCACGTAATTTATGTAAGAAGATTTTTTTGCTTTCTAAGCTGATAAGATTTGAATTGAGTACGAGGGTTAATAAACTGTGCAAACCTAGGTTGTCCTAACATAGGATTACATTTTCTTAAAATTGATAACTTATGGATTGTTTTTGCATTGTCTAGGTAAGTTCAGATATCTAAACATATGAAAACATTTGTAATCAAGTACTGTGCAGTTAATTTTTATTGTTTGTGTACAAGAAATGACATTAAAAAGTTAAGAGATAGGTATACAGATGCGAAAGGTTACAACCAGGCAGGAGTTGATTTTTGTTGTTTGAGGATAAGGAATTATTTTAAAGGTTTAAGATATAAGTATACAGATACAAAAAAGTTACAAATCAATTAGGCAGGTGTTGAGTTTTGTTGTTTGAGTATAAAAGATGACTTCAAAGGGTTAAGAGATATACAAACAGATGTGAAATGTTCAGTGCAAATTGAGTCACAAAAATATATATACAATATTACCAAGTGCAAAGTAGACTTCACTCGATGTATATTTTGCACGAGCTAAACAGATGTTGAGGTCTTAGAGATCATCTTTACTCAGAGGTTTTCTTTCAGAATTTTTCATGAATGAGGAAGGAGGTGATTTTATTTGGTGACTGATGTAGCAAAAGGCATACTAGTGTTGAAGCTGCAGTATGTATACAATCTGTTTGCATCCCCCAAGCTTTCTTTTACAAGTATATTTAAAATGGTGCAGTTTTAAGGATATCTGTCCTTTTCACACTAACGTTATCATCTAAAGATAAAACCCTCAAATTTGCAAAAATATCTATGGAAAGAAGGATCAAGTTTAGAGGGAAAGCTTCCTTCCCTGTTTACCAAACTAATTTTTCATACACACAGACTAAACATTTTACTCATTCACAATGTTACAATTATGGTATTCTCAAGTTCATTGAATTTTACCCAAGATCAGGATAGTAACCACAAGTAACAGGAGGAACAGCCAGGATACTAATCCCAGAGTTAAAACTGAAAGAGGGCTTGACTGAACTGAATGAAACAGAGTGAGCATAATGTTAAAGTAAATCAATCTTTGTGTAATACAAAAACAACAAAAGTCAGTAAAGAACATTGAATGGCACTTCAAGATCTCACACAGACTGTGGAAATCTCCATCTGTTCTTGATATGTCTCTCTAGATATTCTTCATTCTAGACTGAGAGAGTATTGACATTAAATATACGGGTAAAATAAGATCATATCTTTCAGTGCACAAGTACTACCCAGATATCAAGTTGCCCTACTGAAAATAGGATGAGTTTTAACCTCTAGGTAATTAAACTTAAACAGTGGATGTTACTACAGAATCAAAATTTAAATATAGGTCTCCACCAACACCTGTGAAAAACACCTAAAACATTCACAAGTGTATGTAACTAGCACATGAAATAAGGTTGATGATGTACAAACCAGATTTCCTGTATTAAAAGTCTTCAAGCAATCTAAAAGCTTGTATATCTAAGCAAGTTGGTAAACTTAACAGTTTACCTTTCAAATTACCACATAGAATAATAGCAAATTGTAACTGTGTTATTATAATACTTTACACTTTCCTTAAAGGCTTCTATCTTCACTATAATTTGATTTATCAAATCACATCTTAATTTAAGTTTTCAGTGTACTAGACACCTAATAGCTTGATACATGTAAACCTTGGCTTGAAGAATGCCCCAGTTTTGAAATGTGCTTATTGATAAAGTGATATAAAAGTGTAATGACGTTTATATATGTAGTGAATACCAATATAAGCAAAGCCTCAACTATTCTTTCACAGCCTGACATCATAACGTAAAACATATGAATAAACATGTGCCACATTCCAAAACTTACCTGGTTCTGACATCGGCATACACTTTAAGTTCTGGTCTGGATTTGACTGAGACATTACAGTGATGAAGAAGAAAACCTTTGTAAAGATACAAAAACAATATTCTTTAGTAAATATTTATGAATGTATTACATTAATATATCATATACACGTATGTATATATTTATTTACAGTTTAGGTAACAGTAACTAGAGCTGGGCAATTAGAGGTATTTGCTAATTGATTAAACGAAAGGCTCATTAATTGATTATATTCAATTAATGGACTAGTACATGACCCCTACAATCGCCCCCTCCCAATACAAGGAAAAAAAGTGCTTTTACTATAACTGATAAGGGTAATAATGTTTTTATGTAAAACATATCATAATTATAATTAGAAATAATTAAGTAGCCAGTTAGCCACTTTATTTACATACATTGCTTATGTGGGATAAACATACAAATGTAGCCAGTTAGCCACTTTATTTACATACATTGCTTATGTGGGATAAACATACAAATGTAGCCAGTTAGCCACTTTATTTATATACATTGCTTATGTGGGATAAACATACAAATGTAGCCAGTTAGCCACTTTATTTACATACATTGCTTATGCAGGATAAACATACAAATGTAGCCAGTTAGCCACTTTATTTACATACATTGCTTATGTAAGATAAACATACAAATAACAATAACAATTTGAGTCACCTCAATATTTTGCATTTACCTACAATATTCACTAAACATTAAACTTATGTTTACATACACTGCAACACAATAAAACCATGGTATATCTATTAAAAATAAAAATATATTTAAACAAAGCACTAAATATCAATAAAATACCTTTATTAAGCCTTAAGCAGCCTCCAATCATGTGACTATTTGTTTCATACTGTATATAAATATTCCTGTGTACAGGTAAACTACTTTACCTGATGACGATAAAATATTTTCTAAACATAGCACATATGATACTGTGTTAAACTTGTAATAATGTTTCTTTGTTACCCATTCAACCTGTCTCTAAACTAACTCACTTTATCTGACATCTCACTGAAGAAAATTTCTATAGTTTTCAAACACGTATAATTTAAAACACGAATACTTTAACAAATCACAAATGAAAGGAACATTTACAGAAACTGAAGTAAGAAAATCTTAAATCTATATATACTTACTATTCTATTATGTGATAGTATAATTCTTATATCTATCCAATCATATTTAAACTTTAATTATAGCTGCATTCAACAAAGGTCTTTACAAAAACTAGGGGAAATGATGAAAATTAAAAAAAAAGGATAATATATGCTCAAGTAGTGATAGATTCTTAGAACAAATAAAGTTATTCTTTGAGATGGGCAGACAAATTTTAAATAAATCAACAAGTGAGTTGTTTCATTTATAAGCAAAACTATTGCCAGCTAATCAGAAATGAAAATACAAACTTTTTAATTTTCTTCGTGAATTACAATGAACAAATGTCAGCAAATAACATATCAATCCTAAAATATTTTTGAGTTAAAATTGTTGAAATATAGTTAGAATTAACATATAAAATTGACTTAAATTTTGTGTCAAGAAAATTGTTTATCATGTGGCAAAAAAACAAAAAAATGAAAGGGCAGAGTAAACCCTGTCTTCAGATTTCAGACAATAACTTTATACATGAAAATGAATCATACAGGTAGCACAACCATTTAGAAACAATAAAACCATTTAACATTTAGAAACAATAAAAGATTTATTTACTTAATAGTCATCTGTTGTAACAGTATTGTGTACACTTTATGAAATTTTTAAGTCCTTTTAAACTTGCCATTTAATAACCTAAGCGAATTTCAGTAAATGAATAATATTGTGGCATGTACTAAATTTACTATTTGGTATTATATAGTGGACCAAATGTATAATGTTATTACAGACTTTTTCCCATTTTATCAGGTTCCAAAATGGTAAGTTAAAATGGAATTAAAATTTTCTTAAAAATTATATACACACACCACTGATTGCTGACCCAAGGAGGAACTTCAGTCCATAGAACAAGGTAAGAGGGTACAGTGAATCAAAGAATACGACATGCCTGTACATCAGAAATTATATTTCTTATTTTTACTTTTGGTAAAACAAAATCTGTGATATCACTTTCCAAACTTGTTATTCTAGACAATTCAGTATCATTTTTACATGGTTATAAGTGTTTATAATACGGGTGTTAACGTTAGCCAAGCGTCAGACATTTTGAATTTTGCTTAGTCTATTAAATGTTTAAAATGTCAAATATTAAGAAACTAAGAGTTCTTTTATTGTTTACTTCCTACTTTTTGTCACTTGGCACTACTGGCAGATAATGAGATTCATATTTCACCTTAACCTTATACTTCATGCTGCCACTCAGTTCTGAATAAATTATAGATTTACAAAATAGATAGTACTATTAAATTGAATGTAAGACTATGACAGACATGAAATTATGATTATAAATACATATGTATTTAAATAAACAAAACAAAAACACCATAAAACAATTGTTGGTTTTCCAAATATTGTAATTAATGTCAGAAATTATATTTTTAACCACTTTTAATTGGTAATACTTTTTGACACGTTGCCAACATAATATCTCACTGCACAAAGATATAATAGACTGACGTGAAACCCACAAGGCTAGAGTAACGTCATCTTCAGAAACTTGAAATAAGTAAAGCCCTGTCTGAGTACAATTTGATAGAAAGATAGACCAAAAAGTAAAATGTGGGCTCTGCAGAGCTTAGTTACAGAGGCACTATGGGAACTATGTACAATGATATTAAAATGAAGCATCCTGAAAGATCTATTGTAGAGGATGAGTGGTCTAGAGAAACTACTATGTAAATGTTTGTTAGTAGTACGAGCGTACCATTTCTGTAATAATATGGTTAATGTTCACTGTATAAACAAAATAGGCCATTATTATACCCAAAATATTATTGATGTTACTTCATAATTTTTATACATTTAAAACATTTATAGAATATGATTATAAAGTTACTTGTACAAGAATAAAAAGAACTTTAATGCTTAAAAATGTTTAATGTTGGGTGCTTAAGTGTTGTATCTATAACTACACAGTTACTCCACTGCTTTTTAACCAATCAAGGGAAATTAATAATCATAACTTATTTTATTTATTAGGCAAATGAGTATTTAGCCAAAGTAAAAATCTAGTAGTTTTGATAAATTATTCAAGTAACCTAAATTTAAAGTCAAACAACATATAAATTAATGTTATTCTAATTGTTTAAATAGTTATAACATTATCTTAAAGTTTGAAAATCATTTGGGAGTGAATAAGAATAAAACTAGAAAGTTTATTCGGATAATATAGTATTATTGGGTTAACTAGTAACATTTTAACTTTTCCACACTTGCTGCAGTAATGTGTCAATTTTACAATGGTAGTTAACTTTTTGAAAGTTAGCTGTGGAACACTAGGGTATTTTTTACATTAAAGAGAACCTTTCACTATAATAATATAGTATCTTGGTTTAATCATTGTTGACCAAGTAGTCCTAAAGTAGCTTAAATAAGTCAGTTAAAATAACATTTAGTGTATTTTGTAAATGATTAATTCAGTCAGGTTACAATTCAAAGCTCATATCTTTTTTTTTTCTAATATTGTGATTGATATGAAAATAAAAACTGTAAATTCATCACACATTTATTAATTAAAATTAAATCATAATTACCTCTAATCATATTTAGAAAGAAAATTACAACACTGGTAAAGTGGATAATCATTTATAATTTTTTTTTAAATGTCTTTAATTATACAGTCATAGCACTTCCATTTTCACTTATCTTAAACATTAACAATACACAAAAACATAATTCTCACGAGAATCTTTAACTGCTAAAAAATGAAAAATTGATTCTGTAACAAGTCTATATGCTAGTTGATTATTTTCACACCAATCAATTTAATCAAAGTTTTGGTTAATAATTAGGAACACTAATTTAAATTAGTTTATTATTTTTGTGACATTAATTGATTAATCAATTAGTTTAGGAGACATTAAATGATGTAATTGCTCCTAAGTAATCTTTTAAATCACTCAGCTCTAGTAGTAACAGTATGCTCAGTAAAACAACTTATATAGAAAAAATATCACATTCCATGATTTGTACATATATATCGAAAAATCACTTATAGTATAAATTGCTAACCAAGAAAGGGAAAAAGAAACATCATACAGAGCAGAATGGCAGAAGGACATACAGCCAACTGACGTCACCTCTTTACCTATCAAAATCAAATGTTGACCTTCATATCTTTCAACCTATCCAACAAAAGTCTAAAATATTTTAAACTAACACCACTTACAACATCATCAAGATAAACATATCACATTACTTTTATTTAATATTAAATACACACACTAAAGAAAAAGTTTGGATCCAAGTTTCTAAATCATAAATTTATTGTCCATAATAACCAAAGTCACTCTTCCAAATCCTAATCTACTTCTCAAACAAATCACTCACAGGTGGATTAACTAAGCCTCCAGCAATATTTGACATCTACATTCTATTAAAAGTCAAAATTTTTAAACTTCTCTTCGTATCAGGGATGGAAATATTACATTTCCGAGGAATTTAACTTTGCTTGAGGAATTTCATCTTTTTAGTTGGCTTTTCCGATCAGGAATGCATGATCCATCCCTATGCCTTTAGTTATGACCAATGAAAGTGAACATATTGCAGGGATTAAACAGAAAAACAATGAATGTAATTATACACGAGGGAATGTAGTCTTCCTAATAGCTATCTCTAGAGTGAATGTAATTTTATTTCATTATTTCTATCCCTGCATATGTTAATTATTTTAAAACAGTTATCTTGGGTTTGGTGCATACCTATGGAAGTGAAACTTCGTAAATCTCAGCCCTTGTGTTTACAACAGTATCTGTACTGGAGACCAGTAATACTACCAACAAAGAAAATGTGCCTATAAGACAAAGCTGGTGTATCGATTTCATTAGATTTAAATGTAATATTCTAATATAAAATGAACTACTATCTAGCTTGCACCTCATCTCTACAATTGACACTAACCTCCCAACTAAGAGCTGGTGTTAGAAACTAGGATGGTGGCAGACTCCAAAAAGTGATAAAATTATCCGAATGAGGTGCTTATATACAGTACCAGGATAGAGGGTGCGTTGATGTAGGTGGAGAATATCACAAGACAAATATCGCCAAGGGCAATTGAGTGGGATTTAAAAGACAGGAGCAAGTGAGACAAAATCAGACCACTTAAATGAGCAAAGAAGAAACCTGTCAGTTGAGTAATAGCTATAAGTGTCAACAGAGGTAAGTATTATTGGAAATACATTTTCGGTTTAGGACAATGTTAACTTTCCTCTATCTTGTTATATTCTTCCATTTGGAGGTAAGTATCATTGGAAATACATTTTCAGTTTAGGAAAATGTTTACTCTCAAACATACCTCCGCTGACACTTATAACTAGAATCTCACATTGAGAAGGTGGATGGGGCCAGTGAGGGTATTATTTATATAGGAAGTGTCGGCATTGATCATAGGTGTACCAAGATAAGATTGGTACCTAAGTAAGGGAACTGCACTACATGCAGAACAGATATGCTCTTCACCCCTTAGTTCCTGTAACAAGGGTGGAATTGTACATGAGTGATCATTACTATAGGCCAGCCCCAACCAGATAGCTGAGGTTCCGCTACTCGAGGTTGGAATTAAAGGGACTTGATCCTTATATCCTACATTGGTGGCAAGGGTAATTGGACCACAACATTACATACATATATATATATATATATATACTGTTGACTGAATCCCAACCTGTAGCCATAGAGTGATGCGTTCTGAACCACTGGAATCATGATGAAAAAGTAAGCAACATCAAAGCAGACAAACCTTCTCCTCCACCTGAAGAATCATGAAAGACAACACCTCAGGCTCGGAATGACAGGATTGCATATGCCTTATTCAACCAAAGAAACAGAACTCATTCGGTCTGGAATTATGAACATTCATCCTCACTCCGAAACCGAGTGGGCACCCATGTTCAGAATTACGAGGAGATAGTGGATCCCCTTCCATCATATTTCTTATCCTGGGTAATATATGATGTGGAGAGAAAGTGGTAATCCCGTCCTGTCCAGAAAGAAAGCAGCTATTGCCAAAGCCCAAAGATGAGGTACTAGAGACCAAATTGCCAGTAGTTGGGTGATCAAATGAGAGGCCAAACCACCAATTAGTTGCAAAATGAGAGCCAATCCAACAGAACCTTACGATGCAATATTTATTCTGTCGAGAGAATCTGACAGGATGGAGACAATGGACCTGCTACCACAGGCATTACCCATGGAACATGGGAAGCTAGAAGGGTGATAAGACTAGTCCCAAAAAAAGAGGACCAAAATTCAAAAATAAGGAGCCCAAGACCACATGGCTCCATGATGAGAAACATAAGACACTACCATGGAATAGTCAAGATTGAAGCCTGACAATTTACCCCTTAAGAATCCCAGACCATGAGGCCTTGTCTGTTGAAAAGCAAGAAGGACAAAAACATTGTGTAAGGAATCATAGTCTTATATGCATAGACTCTGGAATTATTGATTGTTGGTATAGGCACCCCATCCCTGAAGCAACACATTCGTGAACAGCATGAAACTCTGGATAGTAGTAGTGTCCTTACTTAACAATCCCTTGAGATCGAAGAAAGATCCAGATTAAGGAAACTGGGGAAACCAGTTGATAGATGTTTATGATCGTTGATCGCTTAAAGACCAATAAAAGGATTGCTTGTTCTTGTCCCAAAGGCACAAAGGATTTGATTGATGCCAACACTCCCAGAAGAGAAAGAACCATCTGTGCAATGGGAGAAGGAGAGGTGAGTAAGAGTGGGGCATTCTGTTCTATAATGTTAAACAGAATGGGAGACAGCTGAACCCAACTGATATACGAGATGAAAAATAAAAAATACCCAGACTATTGACATATTAAATTGGAACAAGAATAGATGTAGCAGACCCAAAAGGGAAGCCTGCCTGGGTTGTATCTGAAAGTAGAATCAAGGTGTGATGGTCTAACAATTGACGAGGTGGTGCCAGCAGCAACCGGTCATTCATGGAATGGTGTGTACACAGTACGATGGAATGAAGAGGACGAAAAAAAAAACTTGTACAATACTGCAGAACCCATGTGAAGCCTATGTAAGTCTAAAGCAAATTACCCAGAACTGCAGTACCTGACACCACAAAGGCCAAGAGTGGTGGGACTCCACCGCTAAGTCAAAGTGCAGATAGGAGACAACTACAACCAAGTTGGACATCTACAGTAAAAAAATCAACACAGATTGGAGAATGAGTAACTTGTGAACCTTGGAGAATCTAGGCATCGAAATAGACAAGGAAAAATGATAACTGGACATCAATCTCCTGTCTGCATAGGCCCAACAACTGACAGGAATAAAACTCTGAAGAACTAGCCTGATTCTCTCACTATCCCACACACCAACCAAACTCAGATAACCCTAAAACTAAATTTCAACTCCCAATGAACCATGGGAGATCCTATAAGTTGGATGAATAAAAGTGAGGAAGATGTGAACTGAACAACCAATTATGACCCCAAGGACCTGAAGAACTCCTGGACTCATGGATGTGGTTACTACACTGAACCAATGTGCATGCTAACAAGGGATCCACCTTATTGTCAAGCTGATTATCCTGAGAGTCTTCTAGCAAAGTAAAGTGAAAGTAAACTGAATGATAAAGATGAGTTATAAGTCCATAAACTTACTCTGTCCCATCAGGGAACATAAACCTGTATAGGTGAACTATAAATTCTGCCTTAGAACCCCAAACTCTGAGGAGCAGATGTATTATTTGAGTCAAAAAAATGTCTCCACATGGTGGTGGTAGGCTAAATCACGAAGTTCCAACAACATGTCAGATAAGGCCTAATTGTCCCTTCACGTAACTAAGAAGTAAACCTTCCAGCATGAACCACAATATCTGTGTATGGAGAAAAAATTTGCTTCCAGACCTTTCAGCCATCAAGTAAGTTGCAAGCTCAAAAGCCACCGGGAAAAAGCCCAAAACCTCACACTCTCAAAGAATCAACAGAAGAAAAATCAAGTCAAAGGCAGCTTATACCGCAGTGGCTTCCTTTTTCGTTTTTCACAGGTCATATAATGATTGTGTTGATTTCCAGTGAAACAGCATTTTTTAAGGTATAGTAAGTTGTCTTGTTAGAGCAAAGCAACTTTAGGCCATCTGCTGCATCCACCCTAGGAAATAAAACCCCGGACCCCAGTGCTGCAAGTCTGTAAACTTACCACCATCCCACAGGGGGGCTGAAAATCCAACATATTAAAAGAAGGCACATGAAAAAGCAAATCTAAAGTCTCTCCAAAATGTTGAGGATCATGCTCATTTCCAGCCTTAGAGCCCCAAGAGGACCACCACAGATCCAATTGTATGTCTCCACCTGACATGAATAAGATCACTAACAGTATCAACCGAGAGTGACCCCCCTCCCCAATTGTTATGCGATGCTATATATGAGAGGTGTGAAAGGAGAGAGCCAATTGGCCAGAAATAATAATCCAGGAATTCATATAATAACTGGCTTGCCAATGGGAAGAAGATTTTGTTTTTCAAATTGTTATTACAAAAATCAACTAAATAACACAATAACATTGAACGTATCTCTGAATGATCATAATACTGGGAAACCCGTCAGTGACACTTTGTCGAGAAAAAGTGATAAAATTATCTAAATGAGGTGCTTATATACGGTACCAGGGTAGAGGGCACATTGATGTAGGTGGAGAATATCACAACACAAATATCGCCAAGGGTATAAAAGACTGGACCAAGCGAGGCAAAATCAGACCAATACTTAGACAGGCAAAGAAGAAATCCTGGTGGATGAGTCATAGCTGTAAGTGTCAGCAGAGGTAAGTATGTTTTGGAACACTTCTATTTTTTTTATTTTTTTTACTCAAGTAGTAATGGTGTATTGAAAGTGGTAAAGTTTTATGTAAACTTCAGAATAATCATCCAAACTTCTACATTAATATGTAAAATTATTTGGCAAAGCATGTAATTGATTAGAAATCAAAATGTTTTTTAAAACAAATCAATTTCGTTTTCAAAAGATATTTGTTCATTCAGCCAAATTTTTCTGTGTACACTGTACAAAACTTTACTGTAACCCTGGCTGAGAACCAAGCTTTTATAATAAATTACAACTAATTTCTTTTCTTTCCAAATTATCACAATCAGTTTCTCTAACACAACCAGTTAATGCTTTCAAAACTTTCAGACCTAAAGAGCATCACTTTACGTTAGTAAACAACATATGTTTTACACACTGATTAAGTCATAAAAGTATCCAAGTTTTTGAACAAGAAAAATATTCCCAACACTATTAACCCCTCCCAATGAATGTAAAAAAAAATAAAATAAATACCATTCAAAAACTTATTGAAAACTTTCAAAAGTTCCAAAGTCTATTCATCACCAGCCTCTGTTTTCTACCATGAATCCAATTTTCTATCTAATTTATACATTCTTTTCACAATTCTACAATAAACTAACTTACTCATTAACCTTTTGTGTGGTACTTTGAAAACAAGTTTTTCTTAAAATCACAATAAACAATAAGCAGTTTTATACACAAACAAAAATTATCCACTTTTAAATCTTCTACTGAGGATCATTCATTAAATATAAATCTCCAAATACTTTTTTTTTCACTTCAACCTTAGTCCCAGCAAATTAGGGGTCAGTGGAAGCCAAGAGCATTTTACATCCAGGTGACTAGCCCAATCAGCAACTATACAGGACAAGCATGCTTGGCAGCAGGGATCCCAATTCATGACCTTCAGATTGTGAGTCGAGCAACTTAACCACCAGGCCATGCTAGGCCAAACTTTTCTTACTGATCTTTAATAATAAATTTCATCATCTTACTAATAGCTGCAATCAAATCAATATACTCATTATTTAACAGGAGCTTTCTCAACCATGTTTTTTTTTTAAATAAATAAAAAAAAAATACACACCATCAGGAATGTTTCTATTGTAAAAGTAACAGTTAAAATATATGCACATACTTAGTTTTAATAGTGTTATAATAAAAAAAAATGTTTAAATTGAACATTATTGAGTTAGTTTATGAACTTGATGATATACCTATACCACTACTACGTCTGTCCTACCCAAACCAGCTTGATAAGCCCTAAGAAGGGGTGAAAGGCCTTTTTGGCACTGGATATGGCAGATGTAATGTGGTTGAACATACTATTATCTAGTCTTCTTTGCTCTCGCTCCTAAGCTCTTAGAATTCCTAGATAAATACTGTCAGTTAAAACCTAATTAAATTAAATAAGTATAGGCTATTCACATAAAGCAGTGATGAGTAATTTAAGCAACTGTGCATAGTATATAGAGATATGTCTAAGACAGAATAATTACCTAGCAATTAATTCTGAAACATGCTTTTGACTCTAATACAGTTTAACAGCTGTAAATAAGGTTATGGTCTATTTTTATACTGTATTCTAACGACCATACTTAGTACTGTGGTTAGACCGATAACAGTACTAGAATTATTTAACTACTGTGAATAATTATCCTACAAAGATAAACTGTTACTGCTCAACATTCCACAAAATGTAATATTTTGACAACAATATTTCACTGTCCGTAGGTACAGCCTATAAAAAATGCTTGTAAAGTCATAAAATCTTGATCAAGAAAAGGATGGACTATAAAATCATTAACCGATTTTAATATAATTATAAAAAATATTTGTGCTATAATAGCATTAGGAAAGTTAAAGTTAATCAATAAAACTTTTCTTTGTATATTGTAAAATAATCTAGTCTTCCTTAGATTAGGTTAGCATTACTTTATAGCCTTGTACAATTTACAAACTCTTAATGTCTACTGCTAGATGCATAATCTAAATGGTTATTGTTTCATAATTTAATATATAAGAAAATAAAACAAGACAAATGTAATTCCAGTGAATATACCAGGATTTTAGATATTTATCCCTCTGTGAGGAAACCTAAATTTACAATTACTGATCCAAACATGAAAGTTTTGAAACTACAACTATCAGAACAAAACACTTAACATCACAAAAATACTGTTTCTCTACAACAGATTATTTTCAGAAACTAAGTTAAAACATTTTAGTTTTAAATAATATTTAGCTACATGCAACTTATACTGTCATTTAGTAAAATTAGGTAAATACAATCAATGCATCAAAGTAACATTTCAGGGACAAGTTAAAACCCATGGCAGTTGTCTCATTCATGTAATTAGGCAGTTGTCTCATTCATGTAATTAAACACCTATCTGCATATATCCAGTCCTGAAACACCAAGTAATTACCAAATCCCCTCTAGAACTTTCCCAAGTCTGTTGCATCTGCCACATCTGAAGGCAATCTATTCCAAACACTGACAAGCCTCTCTGAAATCAAAACTGTCTAATTTGAGATGACTTCTGCCTTATTAAATCTTAAATCTATGTTCCCTAGCCCTACCACTCTTGAACATGAAAAAAAAAAAGTTACAGTGGCCATTTGTCCACCCTGAACCTCCCTCAATAATAACCTGTTCTATACTTGAACTAAATTGCACAAGTCATAAACAGCCACCAAGTTTCACATTCAGAGGTTTCTTCATCCTTGAAACTCTTTCAATTTTTCATGATTGATCCAAACAGTAATTTTATTAGTAAAATACAAACAACTGACATTACACTTATTCTCTCCTTCAGGTACAGTAAATGTTCTGAGTCTACCACAATATATAAATACACACACACTTCAATAAACTATCACATTCTAATAGAAACATGAAGGTATTGTGGGTCCACTGATTCCCATCATATTGTTTCTTTACACTATAAACTTTTGCTCATAATTAGAAATTTGTTATATAAAAACTTTCCATTTTGTTCCCTTGTATAACACACACACATATACCAGCAGAATATTAATTATAAACTCACTATTTTATTTACACAGCGATTTGTTACTATTCTGACAGCTATTTTTTCACTACTATTTAAGCTTCATGTTTTTCTTCTTCCATCTTTCCCAACACTAAAATTTTCCTGCTTTTTGCAGGGATTTATTTATCTCAGCTGTACATGTAATAAAGGATATTTCACTTAAATTTTATAACATTTGGTACATATTTTTTGTACTATACATTTTCAATTAAATCTGATATATTTTGACATATGCTGAAAAACGTAAGGATACCTAATTATAAAAAGAAAAAGTTTAATCAATAATTATTGTCTTTTGTCTAGAGGTAAATGTTGAGCTATCGTGGTAAACATCTTATATAATATGATTTGGATGAAGATACGTTTCCTTTCTGCACTTTATTTCTGTAAGAATGGCAAACACAGCCAACTTTTTAACACATAAAATAAAAGCATCAACCACTGGAAGTCTAGACTGACAAAAATAAATTCCTATTGATAATGTTTATTGTAGTAAATATGTCTTAAGTTCAGTAAAACAAAGACTTTGGTAAATATAGGTGGCATTAAAACAAATAAAGGTAAAACTAAAATTGTACTTCACATGAATCACAATAAAAATCACTGATTATGGTTCTTAATGTCTGTTAATATTAATAATGTCTAAAATTAAAGCCAGACAAAACAGAAACTGAGATAGCAATGCTATTACTATTAGCATAACAAGACTTTTAAATATAAATATAACAAAAACAACACAATGTATGTAATGAGAAATACAGGAAGTCAAAGCCATGTCAAAGATTAAATAAAAAACATAATAACACCTTCTCTCGTCAATGTATCGGTATGCGGCAGTGAAATACGAGTGATTTGTTTTTTAGTAGTAGTACTAGGATGTTGAAATTATCGGTACAGAAAATAAAACTCAGAAGTGAAGTAAAGGACCACTAGTACTAGAATTAGCCTTATGCTAGGAAAAATAATAATTCAGAAACTAGCTACTTACAAAAATAGTATTTCACGGTGAATATAGATATCACGCAATTTGTAGTTGTTAGTTACGTGTTTGAATCTTGAAACAACTATCTTGTGTACAGGCCTAGATAGAGCGTGACAGCCACTTCCTGCAGCCAACTGAATACTCACAAATGAGACGAAAAGTTTCGTCAGCGGATAATATTGCTCTACTGTGTCCTAACCTAATGTAATTCTTAACTTGTCCCTAAATCTAATGAAATGTGAGTTTACTCACCCTCAGTAAATGTGTAAGTGGCCTATTAGCAGGTTGTACTTTAATACCTGATTTAAATATAACCATTAACTAACTGTTATGATTGAATAAATGCATTCGGAATTTTTTTTTTCGGAAAGTATAATGTTAACTTAAGCCTAGTAAATGATACCTAAAATTTCATCCAGTTCAATCGATAAAGCAGTAATAAACGAGCCCATACAATAATATATAACATATATAATTTTAAGAATAAACAATTTTTATATATAATTTTGCTTTTTTAATGAAGTACATATTTTATACATATGTTTGCCCTAATATATATTCATATATATATATATATAAAGTAAATAAAAATATTAATTGAATGATACTGTAACAGTAAATGACCATCGTGACTTAAGTGTTTTTGAAAAACAATATGTGATAAAACACGCATAATGGTGTAGAAACGACATAAACAATGGTAACAAGGAAGGTAGATGAATCATACGTTTTCTAACTCCTTCAAAAAACTGACGTGAGTGAAAACGGGTCGCATGGTAAAGGAAAGGGAAGAGACAAAAAGAGCAGTTACCTAAATTACAAGTGAAAGTACAGTAGCTATATATTTGCTGAAGCCTAGACTAAACAATCATCAAATAGCTACTGAGCTTTTATTAGCAATTTAGCTCATTTAATTTTATTTAAACTTTCACGCTCAACTGTGTGAAAAGAGCGGTTTTTGTTTCTGCGTATTATATTAACACCTGGTGAAAAACACGAAAGTAAATATGTTGAAATTGTATATGCTTTCAAATGAACTATATAAAATACGTTACTTCTACAGTCATATAGTTATAGCGGTTATAGTCCATTAGTTAAAGGTGACGATAAAATCACTAGACCCAGACAGGATCGCGGTGGATCAGTATATTAATTTGTCGCTTACGGAATGGCTTTAATCTGTATATATACTCTGTATGTCAATAATAAAAATACAATAAGTCCCCCAGTGGCACAGCGGTATGTCTGCAGACTTACAACGCTAGAAACCGGGTTTCGATACCGGTGATGAGCAGAGCACAGATAGCCCATTGTGTAGCTTTGTGCTTAACTACATTCCATTGATACCCAAAAGAGTTTGAAAATATTGTTTTCCACAAATATCAAAAACGAAATATTCAGATCACAGAAGTAAATGTTTCGGTTAATATCTCATAGACGATATAAGAAAGAGAGTGAAATATGTTTATTTTTAGTACACAGCTACACAATAAACTATCTTTTTTTGTCTAAAATGGATAATTTAACTCTGAATTTTAGCTTTGTAAGTTCATAAATTTACAACTGGCCCACAGGGGAACGGGTCAAGGGTGTGGGTTGTGGATAGAAAAGACTGGGTATCTATTTTCAGTTTCCTCTTAATCTTACTAAGGTCTTAAAATTCCTACGATGTTGTGTGAACAACAAGAGAAGAAAGTACCTAGAGCAATCGTTTCTGTAACATGATTTATTGACTTCGTTCTTATGTGTTTCACTTTTTCAATATACGAAAATGGTTAGCGTCTTGATAGCTAAAACTGTTGTCAAATAATGTAAGACTGTCAGTCAGTGGGCTGAGTAGTTTCGTAACATTACTGAATTAAAATATATTTTGCTTTGTACAGCTGAGTGGTTGTCTTTCTAAATTACAAATGTGTCTACCTAATCTAGACCCCAGTGGCTAAGCGGTAAGTCTGAAGGCTTATGACGCTAAAAATCGGGTTTCGATACCCGTGGTGGGCAGAGCACTGATAGCCCATTGCGTAGCTTTGCGCTTAACAACAACCAAAACAACCAACCTTAAACAAGTTGGATTACCAGGCCGTTCAGTCAATGAATGCTTAAAATGCACAACAAAGGTGAAATGGGCAGCAGCTGTCTAATGCAATTCAAGAATAAAGAAAATATATTATTCTGCTGTTTTGTCAGTGTTTATTCACTCCAATGTTAAACTGCTGTTTATATTCATGATACTAAGAGGTCACGATGGATAAAAACTAAATGAATCACAAAACAAAAACAACAGCCTGAGCACTTTCAGAAGGCAGCCTTTTCTTCTTCAACTGATAGCGCCTAGAGCCAGACCATCTACACTCAATACAAATCATTGTATAGCCCTCTATGGATACCAGCTATTGTAAGCAATTACTTTCCTGAAATGCTTAAGGAAATAGACTTTTTTTTTTCTGCACCCTCTAATGTTGGGAGGGGGGATCTGTTTTGCCATCCTCATAGGATTCCAAGATCATGACCAGAATCTTTCTCTCTTGGCCCTCAACTGACCGAAATGTGAGAACAGCATGTTGGTCCTTAAAGAAAGAGTGTGAACAGCCATTTTGGGTACACTTGACATTGGCGTCTCTTCTTCCTGAGAGCAAAAGTCCAATGTCAGGAGAGAGAACTTCTAAGCTCGAAAGTTTTCTCATACAACCATTTTTCTTCAGTAACCAACATCTCTTCTTGGTCATAAGTCCTTTGGGTTGTGGAAATTGCTTTTTCAGATAACATAAATCTTTTTTAAAATTTAAATAACACAAGAGTATGAGTAAATGGCAATATACACAACAGCAGAAAACTCCATCATAAGATGTCTCGTAGTTACAGCATTGAATTTTTCTCTTTTTTATCCACTCCATCCTGAGAACAATGGGATTGGTCAGTTAAATAACGGGAGATTTGACAAGATATCTATTGTGAAATAGTTCTGAGTTATCTGACTTTTATTGTTTGTTTGTTTGGAATTAAGCACAAAGCTACATAATGGGCTATCTGTGCTTTGCCCACCACGGGTATCGAAACCTGGTTTCTAGAATTGTAAGTCCGCAGACATACCGCTGTGTCACTGGAGGGCAACTTTTAGTGAGTTTGTGAGAATGAAATTAGGAAAATGGACACATGGTAATATTTAAATAAACAATATACTAAAAAACACAAGTACAGTGTGTGTACTTACTTAGACACTTCTATTGGATCATAAGTTGTTTATCTTCCTTCCAACTGACTAGAGTGAGATCATCTACCACTTACTTTACTAGTAATACATGATTTAGTTAAAGTGACAACCTTTACCAACGTGACTTTTCATTCTCATTAAACATAAGGGAGACTTTAAACTTCAAGATATCATAAACTTATCATTGGAGCATATTACAGTCTCCATGGATGCACAATGTTCATTATTACAGCCATACATCCCATAGACAGAACAAATGTTATTTACAGAGTATGACAAAGCAACGAAAGCATCTTGAATGAAATCAACTCAACGACATTTTGACTATATGTTATATGAAAACTATAGATGCCAGAATAACTAAGTAGTTTTGAGAAAAGAAAACTATATTAAGATAAGAAGGTAGAAAAATTCCTGGTATATTTATATATGCTAGAATAGGAATTATGAATGAAAATAGAGCCATATACAGTCTTGGCTAAAATATTTGCATATTTTGTAACAAATAAGATCATTATTATTAAGATGGAATATAAATACACTGCGCTGTCAAACTGATAAATGCATGTTGTATTAAACATCTACACAAGTAATTTGAATAATGAGACAGGTTCTATGGACATCATGAACGATTTATTAGAATAGAAAATAATTGTATTAGACACCTGTAGAAAGATGTGTAATTCAGCATTTCACCTATCCCAACAAAACCTTACCATAACAAATATAGTGACAAAATATAAAATCAGATTATTATAAACAGCGTCTGTAACCTTATATCAGTTCATATTAAACATTCAGTACTTGGTTGGTCCTCATCATATTCTAATAACATTCACAAGGTGATGTGGCATGCTGTCGATGAGGTTATTGATATAATCCTCCGTGATTTCATCCCAACTTATCACTAGAAAACGCTACAACTCAGCTACAGTAGCTGGTTTAAGGTCGTGGTTAGTAATATCATGGCTCAGTTCTGCTTAACATTTCGCAATGGGATTACAATCTGGAGACTTTGCTGGCCATATCAATCTTGCAACATCCTCGTGGTCGAGACAATCCTGTACAATACGTGCACTGATGGCAGTGGCATTGTCATCCTGGAACACAAAGGTATTGCCAAACCTTGCCCTAGTATATAGCAGAAATATCATCTTCATGTGATGCCTGTAGGAGGCGCTGTTGACCTAGAGGATATGAAGAGAAGTTTTTCCACCATGATGAATAGCTGCCAAAACATGTACTGTACCACATCCTGCGTGTTCCCTGTGGGAAAGATAGTCTGTTCTCCAAACAAACGACGAACACGAATACTATTATCAGCTTGAACAAGCTGGAAATAGGACTCATACAAAAGTATGACATGTCGCCAGTGTCGTAACTGTAAGCTGGCATGCTGTCTTGCTCAAGTAACATGGTGATGGCGGTGAATTATGGGTTTGCAGATTGCCCTTCTTGCAAAATACCCTTGTTTGGTCAGTCTCCTATTCACTGTTCTTCTGGATACCCTGTAACGAATGTGTTCATGCTATTCCTGTCTTAAGGTTTTGCAAGACTTCTTTCGACCTTGACGTGTTAACCTGATCAAAACACGGTCATTTCGGGCAGTAGTTTTTCCGTGTCTTTCCTGGAACAAAGTTTCTTGTAGTCTGATGATGTTTCAGAATTCTGGGTACAATACACTGGGGTACCCTACTGTCTGGGCAATGTCCGTTTGCTTCATACCATTCGTGGATAGTCGAACAATTTGATGCCCTATAACTTTTGGCACGTGACGAGGTATGACTCTTCGCCAAGTACAGAGAAATTGTCTGAACAAATCGTTGGTCTGTTTCGAAAAATATTATACCAAAAGCCCACCCTTCTATACAAAACAGGTATGTATCTGCGTTTTGACGAAGAGATGATTAAAACAACTTATACAGACCAAAATAACGACTTGTGTGCGCTTGTCCGATCATATGCTACCTTCTCTGTTACTACTCGGGTATTTACATACTCAATATCTACTCTATACGTAGACAATAACATCAATATAGAACAATTTGGCCAAGACGGTAGGTCATGTTAAGTTGAATACATGTTAATACTCGTATGTTATTTGTTTGGACATGCTGTAATATTTGTAGTTTATATGATTCAGACGAAAATGCTTAGGGTTTGAACGTT